TTATCTTTTTAAAAATGTTGGTAACTTGGTTAATTGCTTTTTAAAATGAGTGGAAATTTTAAAATAGGAAATTTTACTTTACCCAGATGATCTTTAAGAACAATTGGTTGCCATAAAAATGTTAAAGAACTTTAAATGTAAAGGAATTTTATAAAATATCTACTTTAGTGTCCTTGTTTTAATCTAAGGAAATCCAGCTCTAAGACTTTATGATTTCTCTAAAGTAATCCAACTAGTTATGGGAGCTAGAACCCAGAAATATTTTAATTATAGCCAATCACTTTTGTGGAACAAGGTTATGTATAAATAGATAAATTCTTTTAAAGTATAATAAATAACAAATATTCAGTGATTGAGGAATAAATAATGATAGGCTGGACTACTTTTTACAGATATCAGAAAATACTCATTATGCAATGTAAATGAAAAAAAGTAATATAAAGAGCAAGAAGTAATCTCAGTTTGGCATTTTAAAATACATAAAAATGTACATGTATTTACATAAGAATAAGACCTAAAAGAAAATGAATGTACCCAGGGGTAACTGCTTATTTCTGGGTAATTAGTTTTTGTTACTAGTTTTCAAATTAAATTAAATGAATATTTTATAAGGAAAGATATTTTTAAAATACGCTTTTTTAAAAAGTTAAGCAACCGAGGTCAGGTACAGGCAAATGATGCTTAACAGTAATGTTGGAGACCATGTGTGTCTTCTTATGTGTGACCTTAAAGCACTGTGAGTAATGCCCTGCCTTTTCACCCATCGATAGAATGGGAATCTGTGTCAGAGCAAGTGTGGAAGTAGTCAGTGTTAGTCCCCAGTAGTTCTCACTGGAGTTCTGATAGGAGGCAGGAATTCTGTGATTTTTTTAAAAATATATTTTATTGACTTTTTACAGAGAGGAAGGGAGAGGGATAGATACAAGGAGGGCCAGGTTGCCAGCATGTCTTATTCTGATCAGCTCCTCCTTTCAGAGGCTACATTTCTACTATTTGAAGCTGAGAAATTAGTCTTTCTTATTCCACTTGATGCAGGCGTTCCGGGGGGTCCAGGTACCTGAAGGTCCGTGATGCCCTGTGCGCACTTGGATTAGTGCAGAAGAGAATTCAAGGCAAGCCCGAGTAGAGAGTAAAGTGAAAGGGAGTTTATTAGGAAAGCAGTGGGACAGAGATTGGGCTACTCCACAGAGAGCAGCTTCTCCCCCTAGATTCCTTTGCCCAACCCCATTTCTTTTTAGAAGAATCTGAAATGATCTCATTCTCTTTTATCAGAATAGTCTCAAATGACTGTGATTGACTTATTTTTGTTAGCTGTCTCATTTAAAAATGTTGGAAAGAATAAAAATCTAACTCACTTCTGTTTTTTTTACATTAAAAAAATTGACCAAAGCTAAATCTTCGTTAAAAAATCTCCCTATTAGTTTCTAAGGATAGGGCATGAGGTACTATTTTCTTCTGAGAGTATTTTTTAAAACTATACCACAATTTTTTATTTTCAGCTTAAAAATCTTCCACACAGATGCATAATCAATCATTGTTATTCTATTCAAGAAAACCTGAGCACCTACTATATGCCATCACTTTTTTGGATACTGGTGTTCATGTTAAAAGCCATTGAAATTATGACCTTATTTTCCTGGTTGATACTTAATATTCAGTCTCTTTTCTTGTTTCAATTGATAGCCATCTCTCCATAGACTAATTCAGACATTAGAGATCTGATTGGACCAGCTGTGGAAATGAGATAGAAATGAGATAGCTTGAGGCATCATTTGTTAAACAATTAGCTCATACTTTCATTATCTCTGATTTCTTGACCATATTTGAGTAAAAAGTGTTGTTAATTTGCTGTTATTCTATTATAGACTGCAGATGTTGGATCACTTTGCTGAATGTGTTAAACAAGCCAAAGGTGTCCGCCAGCAGGCTGTGCAGCTTAATATTTTCACTGCTGTTCTTAGTGCACTAAAGGTATTTACTTTAAAACATAATAAATATTCTGAACTACGATTTTAATTAATGCCTTTAACAAGGCAGGCATACTAGATTATTGTGATGTTTAAAAGTATATCCCATGATAACTATGTTTTATATTAGTTGAGTTAAATTACTAGAAACTTTATATTAGGCTCATTGTGATTAATGAGTAGTTTATATTTTAGTAATGTTACTCTTTCAGTTTGACCCCTGAGACTTTACAAATGCCAGTAGTTCAGACAGTTAGAATTTTCAAAAATGTCTGGCTGATGAAATCTAATATTCTGCTGAAAGTTAACAAGATGAAACTTAAATTTGATTTGTGGTTTAGACCATAAATCAGGAGAGGTTGTGTTATATAGTTGAAAAAATTCTGCATTTAGAGGTTGTGTTCTGGTTTTGCATAATACTTGGTTTATGTCTTTGTGTAATTTATTTAATCTTCTTTTAACATCAGTTTCTACACGTGTAAAGTGAAATGACTATTGCTTTGTCTCTCAGAGTTTGTTACTGTATTTTGCAGCCTGCAGCCTCTCATGATATATTTGAAAACTTCTTATATTTTTTAGCACTGAGTTAATTATTTGAAAACTTACTAT